TGTGTTCTGGAGCTCTGCCTTTTTGAGGGTTTAGAAAGATAAAGTGGTGTATTTATGATGCACACTGCCTTCAGCGGGGTTTGTAATCAGACACCTTAAAGCCTCTGATAAAACAGACTGCCCACACTGAATGGGATGAGGACTAATGAATGCCCTTGTGTCTGTTCTGCTCTGGTTTTGGGATCTCAGAATTGCAGGGAAGTAATGTTCTTTGTCTTAGGGTTATGTTGATACAGAAGAAATCATGCCCAGCAAAGGTACCTTTGCTTGATTTGAAATTTTAACGCAACCTGTAAAGGAATTCTTTAGATATGTCTCAAGAGGATTCAGTTTTTAGATTTTAAAAAATAGTAAGTAATAATACTTATATGAATACTAGTATTTGATACTTAAAACCTCATGATGTAGTAGAATATGTATAAAGAAGTTCATCGCAGTAATATTTATTTATTTATTTTTATTTATTTATTTTTTAAAGATTTTATTTATTTGAGACAGAGAGAATGAGAGAGACAGAGAGCACATGAGAGGGGGGAGGGTCAGAGGGAGAAGCAGGCTCCCTGCCGAGCAGGGAGCCTGATGTGGGACTCAATCCTGGGACTCCAGGATCATGACCTGAGCCGAAGGCAGTCGCTTAACCAACTGAGCCACCCAGGCACCCTCATCGCAGTAATATTTAATATTGCTAAATTAACAACCCTGTAGAGTCAAACATAGGCTCAGCTGATTTTTTAAAGATTTATTTATTTGAGGGGCACCTGGGTGGCTCAGTTGGTTAAGTGACTGCCTTCGGCTCAGGTCATGATCCTGGAGTCCCGGGATCGAGTCCCACATCGGGCTCCCTGCTTGGCAGGGAGCCTGCTTCTCCCTCTGACCCTCTTCCCTCTCATGCTCTCTGTCTCTCATTCTCTCTCTTGCAAATAAATAAAATCTTAAAAAAAAAAAAAATTTATTGAGAGAGAAAAAGAGTGTGTTCACACGCTCGTGGGGGGAGGGGCAGAGGGAGAGAGAATCTCAAGCAGACTCCGTGCTGAGCGCGGAGCCTGATGAGCCATGACCCTGACATCATGACCTGAGCTGAAATCAAGAATCGGACACTTAACTGACTGAGCCACCCAGGAGCCCCTCAGCTGATTTTTTTCAAGAGCCTTCAAAAGGTACATAATCTTTGACATAATAATTCCATCTTTGGAAATCTGCTCTGAGGATTTTAACTTACAGTCACCTTTGCTTTTGGGCATCTCAGCTGAGTGAGCCATGATGCCCACAGTCACTGAGTCCACCACACCTCCCTCATTTTCTTGTCAAGTGGCCTTTCCCACAATGGCACATGTCTTTCCCTCTGACCCCTAGAGCAGTGTTCAGCTGCATGCTCTGCCTCAGCTCTTTCCTCCCTAAGCCTTGGAGTCCTGTCCTGGCCGTTCACCTGTGGTGCAGGTTGTCCTGTGCATGTTTCCAGGACTTTGTGTGGATCACAGAGGCTTGAGTGAAACTAGCCCTTTTGATTTTTATTAGTTCAGCGTGTGTGGGTAGAGCCCCTCTCTCTTTTTTCCCCCGTGTGCATCATAGGACAATGTCCCATGCTCTCCCCCCCTTGCCTGTAAGACCCATGGGGGTGGCTAGGCTGAGCATGCCTGTTTTGGCTTGTGTTCTCAGCATCAAGCACACTGTCTTACTTCCTAGGCATTAAAATGTATTTGAGTGAGTAGATGGATGTTCAGGGGATTTGATCCATAGATCACTTAAATAAAGCCCACGTATCTTCAAAGACTAGTGTTTGAGGTGTAGCCAGAGGCAGCCTGAGACAGTGCTGGGAAGGAAGGGGTGTAGTGTGCAGCGGTCTGGTCCTTTTGTGAGGGAATGATCTGGAAGCTTTGCACCGTGTCAGTTTACACAGGTAGACTTGTCTGCAGGAAACAGGAGGGAGGCACCGCAGGGCTCCTGCCTTCTAGCGAAGAGGAAGAGGGTTTCAAAGAGGCAGCATCAGGGTAGGTGAGGAGTAGTTCATTTGGATTATTAAAAATGTTTGGTTTGCTCATAAAATCGATGAGACATTTGTATTTACTCTGTGATTTGAATTTTACATATTTTTTTTTAAGATTTTATTTATTTGACAGAGACAGATAGTGAGAGCAGGAACACAAGCAGGGGGGAGTGGGAGAGGGAGAAAGCTTCCTGATGAGCAGGGAGCCCAATGAGGGGCTTGATCCCAGGACCCTGGGATCGTGACCTGAGCCAAAGGCAGAAGCTTAATGACTGAGCCACCCAGGCGCCCCTGAATTTTACATATTTTAAATTTATACTAGAATTGGCTGTGTAAACTGTTAACCTTTTTCTTGAGTTTTATGTCTGTATCTTCCCTCATCTTCCCCCAGCTTCCCATATGGATTGCTTTCTAAAAAGATGAGAGAAAAATACAGCATGTACATATGTCCCCCCCCCCCTTATTTCCACTTCTACAACAACACCCCTCCCTTGTAGCCAGGCTTCAGAGTAACCAGGGAGGGTTCTTTGCTGCCTGCCCTGAGAACCATCTTTTCTCACGTCTGGCCAGGCTCTGCCCCGCTCCCCCCTTGTGGACCCTAGACACCCGTCAGCCAGCCTCTGCAGTCTGTCTTCAGTCTGAAGATGCACCTTGCCTCTCCACTTACTTTTGCCTCCAGGAGGCAGAGTAGCATTGTGAAACTTAAGCTTTGGTTTTGTTAAATCCCCAGTTTCCTCATTTTCTACAAGGGTGATGCGTGCTTCTGGTTTTGGATCACATGAATGTGTGCTGCTCTGTGGGACAGTGGTCTTGTCCTCTGGGCTGGGTAGTCAGAAAAAGAGCCCCACTTGGGTCTGATTTTTAACCGGAAAAGAGTCCAGACAGCTGTACATGTGAATCCAGGCTGAGGCGGTTTGCAGTGGTCTCCACACCCTTTCTCCCACTGTGACCATGCCCATAGGAGCTGCACGGGAGACAAATGCTCATGGGGGGTTGGCTCCCCATTTTCTTCTTCCAAAGAAAAAGAATAGGGAACTTTAACTTTGTTTCATGCCTTAAGCCATAAGACAGTTTAGGTATTTGAATTAGAGCAAACTATGATACATTTTTCCATTTTAATTTTTTCCCTCCTCTCTTGATGTGGCAAGTACCTGAAAGAATTTGTATTTGGAGATTGGGATAATTGTGACAACCAGTTTGAAGAAGAAGCTCTTACCTGGGCTCATATTCTCTTCAGCGACATCTGGTGGTGTCTGGAGACAGTTTTGGTTGTCACACTGGGGAAGGGGGTCCTGCTGAATATCCCACAGTGGACAAGACAGCCCCCACCACAGAGAATGATCCAACCTAAAACTCCACAGTCATGCCGAAGTTAAGATTACCTGCTTAGTAATTCAGTGACAACGTGGGTGTGCACTCCTAAGAGCTCCCCTCTGAGGGTTTGTGAAAGCCAGTAGTTGGCCACCATTTGCTGATTAATCTCCAGCTTCCGCTTCCATACCCACTGATATGGGTGTTCTTTTAAGTACCTTTCATGGCATATTTTATTAAAGGAACCAGTTTAATGTGAACAGTGTAGTGGCATTTAGCACGTTCACTGTGTTGTATATAACCATCACCTCTATCTAGTTACAGGAGGTTTCCGTCTTCCCAAAGGGAGCCTTGTACCTGTTGAGCAGTATTCATCCCACAGACATGCACACAGAGCTCCTAGCAACCACCGCATTCTGTCTCTGTGGGTTTGCCTCTTTCATATAAATAGAATATTTCATATAAATACCCCATTTAAATGGATATTTCATACACATGGAATCATACCCTTTGTTATCTTTTGTGTCTGGCTTCTTCAGGTAGCCTAATGTTTTCAGGGACCATCCACACTGTGGTATGTGCTGGTGTTTCACTCCTTTTCATGACTGAGTAATATTCCATTGTGTGGCTGTGCCACCCTTTGTTTATCCGTTTATTTATTGGTGGACACTGAGCTCTTGCCACCTCTTGGCCGTTGTGGTGAGGTATGAGTACCGTTCTTCAGTTCTGGGGGGTATATGCCTAGGAGTGGACTTGCTGGATCATATGGCAAATCTGTGTTTAACTTTTTGAAGAACCTCCATGCTGTTTTCTTTCCACACTTACTTTTATTGACAAAAAGCTTGTGCTTGCTAATAACATTTGCAACATAATTCCAAAATAAAACTATTTTGTTAAATAAATGCCTTAGAATTTACAGTTCAACTGGGGGACATTTCAGCTTGTTAATACCTCTCCTGACCTCCAGACTAGATGTGTGCCTGGGAGTTTTAGACGCACGAGATAATGAATCCATCAAGAGGCAGGTGGTAATCTGTGAAACATCCAGAATGGGACTTTTCACACACAGTTTAATTTGGAGAGATCACAAAAGCCTATTTAAGTGTTTTGAAACTTAGTTTATGAGAAAGAACAAGCAGATATTCCAGAAAAAAATCTAGAATTAAGTGTACTTTGGTTCTGCCTGCAGTACTGAGAGAGGAGAGTTGGGGGCTCTTCCAGGGGGCCTCCTGGCCACCAGGGCTAGGGCTGGTGGTGGGAGTGGCCAAGGGGTGGGTTGCACGTGTGCCCCTATAGACCAGCCACACTTGGAAAGTGCCAGGCCTTCTTTTGAGGTTCAGATGCATTCCTGTACATGTCTAATGGCAGAGTCTGGGTAAGGGTACTTCAGAAGCTTCTTGAATTGCAGTGATTGTTTTTACTGTACTGTAATTTTTCTAGTAACAGGATTCTAAGTATGCCTTCCCCACGGTACTGTTCATTTGGATTCAAGGTATTTTCCATGAGGCATTGCTAAGGATTTTTTAAAAAGAAATTGAGATCAGAGTTCTTTTCCACCCTGAAAAGCCAAATAGTAAGTGAAATGACTGGGGCAAGAAATGGTGATAGGGAAGGGATGGATTTATATGCTCTTTCAGATGTATGGAATGTTATTGGTCGCAGCCCGAATGCAATGCATATATAGCTTTTTCTCTGTCTGTTGCAGACAACTTTTCATGCATTGGAGACCAGACCAGAAGCACTTCTGAATTAAGGTAATGTTGATGTAATTGATCCTTGTTTTTAAAGCACAATGTTTACATTTCTTCAGGGTTTCTTATTTTAATAACCTGGTCTTTGTACAGTTTTGCCCATTTCTTTTTTAAGCCCATAGTTGGTTTTCAGAACAGGTTGTTTCTGAGAAGCATGTTTTTTTGAAAGGCTCTGTCTAGTGTTCAGAAGGAAGAGATTATGGTTCACATTCTGGAGAAGAGCAGAATTTCTCCAACTTTTTTCATTAGAAAGCAGGAGAGCCCTTTTATAAATCAGATCTTAGTTAGAATACCAGTAGATCGTGCAGATAAAGGTGAAGCCACATGATTCATAAGAAAATCCCTACAGGGGCGCCTGGGTGGCTCAGTCGTTAGGCGTCTGCCTTCGGCTCGGGTCATGGTCCCAGCATCCTGGGGTCGAGCCCCATATCGGGCTCCCTGCTTGGTGGGAAGCCTGCTTCTCCCTCTCCCACTCCCCTTGCTTGTGTTCCCTCTCTCGCTGTGTCTCTCTGTCAAATAAATAAAATCTTAAAAAAGAAAAGAAAAGAAAATCCCTACAAATTTGTGTGAAGTGGGAGTGATAAAGCAAATGTATCACAGAGCCAGGGGTCAGTGAATCTGGTTGAGGGTACAGTTCTTTGTGTAATTGTTACAACTCTGTAAGTTGAAAGAATTTTTTTGTAAAGCTGTTATTTATTTGAGAGAAGGGAGAGCGCGTGAGTGCATGTGCACAGGGAGAGAAGAGCGGGGTGGGGTGGGGAGGGGAGGATCCCAGGCAGACTCTCCGCGGAGGCACGGAGCCCGACTCGGGGCTTCATCCCACGACCCTGAGATCACAACCTGAGCTGAAACCAAGAGTCAGACTCTTAACAGGCTGAGCCACCCACACAGCCCAAGTTGAAAGAACTTTAAAAAGCAAAACTAAATTAGGGGCGCCTGGGTGGCTCAGTTGGTGAAGCGTCTGTCTGCCTTTGGCTCAGGTCGTGATCTCAGGGTCCTGGGATGGAGCCCCGCATCGGGCTCTCTGTTCAGCAGAGAGTCTGCTTCTTCTCCCTCTGTGCTCACGCTCTCGCCTGTGCACGCACGTGCACACACGTGCTCTCTCTCTCTCAAATAAAAAAATACAATCTTTAAAAACAAAAACCTAAAAAAGCAAAACTAAATTAAATGACTTCATTGCTTGAATAATTGGTTGTCTGTATGCAGAAGGTGAACTTGGTACCATAGACAAAATTTAACTCAAAGTGAATCATAGACCCAATAGAAGACATTGGAGATTGTTAAGACTTTGGGTTTGGCAAAGATTTCTTAATTATGACATCAAAGATAGAATCCATAAAAGAGAACATTTATAAATTAGACTTCGTCAAGATTAAAAGCCTCTGCTCCTTCAAAGACACTGTTAAGAAAATGAAAAGACAAGCCTCAGGCTGGCAGAAAGTGCTAACATGTGACACGTCTTAGATGACTTGTATACAGAGTAAGTAAACAACTCTTAAAATTCAATGTGAAAGTAAACAACTCTTAAAATTCAATGTGAAGGAAGCAAGTGATGTGAACAGACACTTCACCAGAAAGTATAGAGAGAGATAGCAGATAAGCGTGTTTGAAAAGACGCCCAGGGCGCCTCGGGGCTCAGTCGGTTAAGCATCTGCCTTCAGCTCAGGTCATGATCCCGGGTCCTGGGATCGAGTCCCATGTCAATCTCCCTGCTCAGCAGAGAATCTGCTTCTCCCTCTCCCTCTGCCCCTCCTCCCTGCTTGTGCTCATCTCTCTCTTTCTCTTGCTCTCTTTCTCTTCTCTCTCTTGCAAAATAAAATCTTAAAAAAAAAGAAAGAAAAGATGGCCAAAATCATTAGCTTTTGGGAGATGGAAATTAAATCCATAAGGAGACACCACTGTCCAGCTCCTAGGCGGGTCAGCAGCTGATCACGTCAAGCGCTGACGAGGATGTGCAGGAACCAGGCTCGCAGGCACTGCTGGTGGGGGTGAAAAATGGTGCAGGTACTTTGAAAACAGTTTGGCAGTTTCTTAAAATGTTAAGCATATGCCTACCATATATGTTCCCTCCTCAGTGTGTCCCCAAGAGAAACAAAAGGAGATGTTCGTATAAAGACTTGTAAACACAGCAACATGGATGAGTGTCAAAATAATGCTGAGTGAACAGAGCCAGATCGTAAGAAAGTACATGCTGTATGACTCCGTGTGCATAAAATTCGGGAAGTGCGCACTGGTGTGTAGTGACAAAAAGCAGATGAATGGCACCTGGGGGAGGGGTGGGATTTCAGAGGGGCACAAGGAGACTTCTGAGGATGATGGACACGTTCATTACCTGAATTGTGTCGCTGGTTTCAGAGATGTGTACATGTGTTAAGTATTAAGTTGTTCATATTTATTGTGTGACTTGCATTTCAATAGGTATTTTATGTTTTAAAAATGAAATGAACAATTAGAAAGTGATGTGAGCAGGTCTCATCTCTACCAGGTGAACCCCCTGTATTTCACTGGCTGCCACTGTTAATTGTGTTCTTGATTTTTGCCTACTCCACTGACTCTGGGCAGGAAGCCTGGCAGGTGAAGGAGGAGGTAATTTTCTTAAATCATTTCAGGCTAAAAAATCTTGCTGCTACTTTTACAAGTCCTATTTAGTGAGAGTTTAGTGAGAGAGAAAGATGCTGAAATGAATCCATCCCCAGTTGAGGATCTCCCACAGGAATGAAGAGGGGAGGAAGGGTTCAGTGCTATGCTGGCTACTGTGGTTGTTGGTGGCCACTGGCCACGTGTGACTGAGGAGCACTTGGAGTGAGGCTGGTCCAAATCGAAATGTAAAATACACACTGGATTTCGAAAACTTAGTACGACACATGAACGTGAAATACCCATTTATAATTGTCTTATATTGTTTACATGTTGAAATAACATTTTTGATGTAATGGATTAAATAAATATATTATTAAAATTACTGTTAACTTATTTTTTTTTTTTAGTTTTTTAATATGGGCACTGGAAAACGAAAACCTCCATATGTGGTTCACATTGTGTTTCTATTGGACAGCACCGACGAGCTGATTGGACAAGATGTAGGAGCCTGTGAGCGTGGGGGCTGGAGGGGATATCCAGAAACTCTTATCCCTGATGAATGAGTTCTCCTGAACTGATGGTATTTAGCTGGAAAGCAATTTTAAGATGCTTCCCCTAGAAGTAGAGAAACTAAGATCTCTTGCCCCTGGTGGAGCATCTGCAAAGGAAGAAAAAAGGTCTCCACACTATCCAGGTCAGAAGGCTGTCTTGAGATGCTAACTTCTGTTGCATCAGTGTCCCAAGAGCTTGCCCTGGGGTGATATGTGGGTACAGGCGACAAGGAAGTGGAACATTTTTTTATGGTCCTGTGAACATTGCAAGCCAGTTAGACTGCTTCGGCACCTGGCGTGGGTAACTCCGGAGGTAACCCGCATCAGAATGGGGGCCTTGCCATTTGTGACTACATCCGTATCTCTTGTTTACCACGTGGACAATTGGTAGGACCTCTTCCCAAGATGGTGAGGACACATGTGAGGACACAGTATGTGCCCCTAAATCACAGCTGTGACCTGGGAGTGGATTGTAAATCCCCTTTTACTTTTATTTTTTTACACATTAACGTTCTTAATTTATTAATCCTCTCATGAAAAACCTGCACAATCACCACAGATAAAACCACTGCAGCATCTTTACTCCTTCAGTTGTCCAATCTCCAGGTCACTTTTTTTTTTTTTTTTGAAGATTTTGTTTATTCATTTGACAGAGCACGATAGAGGGAACACAAGCAGGGGGAGTGGGAGAGGGAGAAGCAGGTTTCCTGTAGAGCAGGGAGCCCGATGTGGGGCTCAATCCCAAGACCCTGAGATCATGACCTGAGCCAAAGGCAGATGCTTAACGACTGAGCCACCCAGGCGCCCCTCCAGCTCACCTTTTGCCAGCACCAACATTGGCTTTTGCAGTCCCCCTGACTTTCTTCATTCTGTTCTTGTGGTCCTTTCGCTGTTTTCTTGATGTTTTTTCTTCTCATACAGGCTATGTCTTGCTAGTCTGTGTTTGGGTTTATTTTTCTTTGCATAATCCAAGGAATCATAAATCATGCCAAAGCCAGTTGTCTTGCCACCACCAAACTGGGTTCTGAATCCAAATACAAATATGACATCTGGTGTGGTCTTGTACATTTTGGCTAGTTTTTCCCGAATTTCTGTCTTAGGTACTGTTGCCTTTCCGGGGTGAAGAACATCAATGACCATCTGTTTCCGCTGAAGTGTAGTTGGTTGGTCATGAAGTTCCTGGTCTGGATAGTTATTGTGTCGTTCATGATGGCAGCCCCCCCTTTTACTTCTGAAGTGGTTAGGTATCCAAGTGGTGAAATCATCAAGATTTTCTGAGTCAAATCCTTAAAAGGACATTTGACTGTCACTCTTTAGACTCTAGTGCCTGAGGACAGGGAGTTTGTGTTTTTCACCACAGTGTCATCCTGTCATGGCAGGTGCTTAATACACAGATGTGAGTGAGTAAGGTGTTTGTAGAGCAAGGCCAAGAGTGCTGCTGAGAAGAGAAGAATTCTACTTCTTTGGACTCAAAACTGGACATGACGCCTAATCAGAAAGCAAGCAGGCTGCACCTGTTCCCATTGCAACAGAAATGATCTGATGGTGAAGAATCACAGAGCTGTTTGGTGAAAATCAAGACATATTCAGAAGAAATTAATATATATTAATAAGTATGAGTCATGCTTTTGGTTTCTGTAATTTTAGGGGGAGATGCAAGCTGCAGGCTGTCTGAATTTACAGTAAGTTTTGAGGGAGTAGCTTAGGATGGCTCTGCTCACCAAGACTTTGGCTCCCTGAGGTGCCAGTTAGACCATCTTCCACCACTGTCAAGAGGAATGCATTTATGCAACCTGTGCATATGTGTTTCTGCTCTCACGGCTTGCTTTTCAAACCGTGGACAAACCTTGGCCATTGCCTTCAGGTGGGAAG